ACACACACACACACACACACACACACACACACACACACACACACACAAATAGCTATTACTTGCTACCCATCCCTGTTGCCGGTGTATTAGAATGAAGTCAGCGAATATTTCAGAACAAATGTGCTTCTTGCCAGACCTCCCAGTCCTCTATGGAGCTCTGCCACTGGGCGATCTTGTCAATGTTCTCAAGACGCCGTTTCCTCTCATTGATCAGCCTGGCCACATTCTTCATGGCATTTAAGGCTGCCTCCACATCTTTGTAGTCCCTAATGTACAGAAAGTGACATGCAGTCGGTGTGTGAAGGTGAAGCTCAAGGATAAGTCTGACCAAACCAACCACGAATGTATCCCACTAATATGTATTATGTGTATGTATCACAGCCTAATATCTCTTCTTTCCTCTGTGCCATTGAGCTCCATTAAAAACACATTGATGAGTCGCAATGTTGTTCCTTCATCACCATGAACACACACACACACACTGTAGTTTATTTTGATCAATCCCACACACTGTCCTGCTACCACTAAAACTCACTAGAGCACCAAATGTGGATTAATCCACCCTGGAAAATAGTCCCCAACAAATGCACAATTTCCTCCTGTTTAAGTAACAGTCTGAAGACTACAGTGTGCAGCTGTCTTAGTAAATTACTGATCCTTTAAAAAAAATGAAACTATATATTTTTAACGTCCTCAGGAGGAAGAAAGTCACAGGCAGAGTAGGGAAGTCTAAAAGTATTAAGAGACTTTTGGTGTTTTCATGTAATTTGTTGACAGGAAGAAAACATAAAATACCAGCAGCTCCATGCTTTAATGAGGGTGCCGTAATTTGTGAAAACAGAATCTTAAGCAACACAAACATGTACTGGGATGCCACGAGATACTTTGTTAAAAAGTAAAATATAGTTCGTTAACGGAGCTTGACTTAAGATTTTGGGGTTAAACTATTGTTTCCAATGTCAAAAAAAGATGGTTATCAATCAATGATATGCATTCATCTGTCATATGCATCTCATGATATGCATCTGTCCATTTTGATCAATGAGAGCTGGCGATTATCTAGAGGAAAGAATAACAAGTGCACTAATGGATCTCCTGAAAACCTTCCCTGCAGGAACACATTAATAAGAGTTTGCAGTTACCTGTGCTGTGGGTTGGTGTATTTGAGCAGCTCAGCCAGCTGCAGCGGGTACTTGCAGATCTTCTGAACTGGAGTGAGTAGGAAGCCATCCAAGGAAATGTCGATCATCTTCTGGAGGAGTCGGCAGGCTTCGAAGAAGAACACGTACTTGTTGACCTTCACTAACTTAGAGAGCTGGACGCAAGCATTGGGGTGGTTGTTGCAATACTCTGAATAGATCTGGAAATCTGTTTGCTATACATAAAGAACAGAAAGATAAAGGGTTAGAAGCATGTAAAATAATTGGGTAGACAGAGTAAAAAGGTATGCACTCCCATTACTGTAAGAACATTGTTCATAAACTATTGAAATATTAGTTTGATGGTTTTGGAAAACAAAGCGAACAAGGTGTGATAATGTAGCAATGTGAAGTGGAATTATGCAGAAACCTTTAATCAAAATGTTCTGACTGAGTTAGGGACTCAGTTCAGAGCCGGCCCTAACCAATTTGGTGACCTGGGCAAGATTTTAGCTGGTGATGCTTGCATTGCAGCCAATTCCACCACCAATCATAGTGTTCATACACTTACACAGAAACTGCTAATGTCTTTGAGATCAAGCTACGGAGATCAGACTTTCTTCCGAAGTATGCTAGTAGCACTCTGCTTCAATGGTAACTACTATGTAATAGATAAAACTATTCAATCATCACATTGTCTTCTGCACCTTTTTCCTCCTCCTCCTCTTTTCTTCTTTTTCTTTCCTGGACTCCAGAGGGCCTATCATTTAATGGGCTGCGTAGTTATGTTATTGTGGGCTTTTTTTAAATATTTCAAAATAATATATAAAGTATTAATCTAGTAATATTAAAAGTAGTTTATAAAAGTTATAAATTCAGATTTGTTTTCTTCCCTGATTTCATGGTTGGATGGGGCCCTAGCATTCACCTGAATGCTTGATATGTGGCGAGAAATTAGCAAACAACTAACAAATCGAATGTTGAAAGAAACTTCCAGAACAAGCACACAGCATTTGCTGAAAAGTATCAAGATGGAGATGAGCGAAAAATAGCGATTTCTCAACTGCTGCAGTAAATTGAGCAAAGTAAATATACTTTCACGAAGTGGATCAGGTCTCCAAACTCAACTACTGCTGCTAGTTTTGTGGCAGCTCATGAGATAGTAAGGTGTGGAAAGCCGTTCACAGATGGAGAATACATAAAAGAATCGTTCAATAAAGTATCTGAGCATCTGTTCTCGGACTTCAAAAACAAAGGTGAAATTGTTCAGAAAATCAAGAGATATGCCTCTCTCTGCAAAGACCGTTAAGGACAGGTCCATTAAAATGGCAACAAACATCACCAGTCAGCAAATTGAGGACATCAATTCAGCTCCAGCATTCTCAATCACCTGTGATGAGTCAGGAGATGTCACATTTCCCCCGGAATGTATGGAGGTGATGAACCTTGTTATCAGATAGTGAACAAAATAATGGCAAAGGGGTTAAACCACGACAGTTCTGTTTGTTGTTGGAAGAAGTGGATAGCGCATATTCAGATCTCCTGCTGCATAACAAAGTCCGGTGGCTGTTCAGGGGAGAGGTGCTGAAACGGTTTACTGCTTGTCTTCCTGGAAAGCAAAGTCCTCACCTATCCTGAGCAGGGAGATCCAGATTGGCTGGAAAAGTTGCACTTCATGGTAGATATGACAAGTCACTTAAACATGCTGAACAAAAGTGTCCAGGGAAAGGGAGGCACGGCTCTGCAGATGCTGGAGGATGTTTTGGCGTTTGAGGGCAAGATGACAGTGTTTGTCAGAGAGGTACAGAGAGGCACGCTCTCTCACTTCCCCTCCCTGAGAGAGTTCCGAGAAAAAAATAATCGCATGAATGAATATTTACAGCGTGCAATTATCGGAATACAAACTGCATTTGGGAAAAGATTCAGCAAGTTCAGGGAGGAAAAAAGCACATTATCCTTCCCCGTCACACCCCTGGACATCGACCCGTCCCAGCTGAACATGTTCGCATTCCTGGGAGTAACCTGATCTAGAAATTGAACTGGCGGACATAGCTGATAAAGACTTATGGGTGTCCAAGTACAAAAGCCTGACAGCTGATCTCGAAGATGTTGCCCATCAGAAGGCCATCCTCGCTAGAGAGCACAAATGGAGCAATATTGAAAACCTCCTCAAACCTGACAAACTTGTGTTTGAAACATGGAATGCCATTCCCGACACTTACATGAACATTTAGAAGTATGCATTTGGAGTCCTGTCCATTTTTGGATTAACGTACTTATGCGAGCAGGTTTTCTCAAGCATGAACTACATAAAATCGAAATATTGCTCCCGCCTCACAGATGACAGCCTGCAGTTCTGTGTGAAGGTCAAAGTCACATCTTACAGCCCTGATGTAGCGATACAGCGATGTCCAGAAACAAAAATCACATTAAACAGGTGAGAACACTATATTTTAATAGGCTATTATTTTGGAAAAAAATATTTATTTTAGATCCTGAACTGATGCAGTTGTGTTTTTATGTTCAGGTATGACGGTTGATGGCTGTAAGTGGCTGAGGAAAAAAAAAAAGAAGAGGATGACAGCGCACTGAAAAGCACTTTAGTCGTACTTAAATACAAACTGGCCTATTTTTTATGTTTACTCTTTTTAAGATATTAGGCTGCAGCTATATGTGATATTTACTTCAATGTAGGCTACTTTTTATTTAATATATTTTCCGCAAACATGGGGAGGACCCAAATAGACCTGCATTGTTCTGTGTTTAATTCACTTCTGCAGCTATATGATATATTTATTTTAGTGCTGGGTAAGTCAACGCGGTATTATCTCGTTAACGCATTAATTAATTAACGGCAACAAGTATTTTATCGCGCGTTAACGCATTTAAAAAAATATATATTATTATTTTGAAAGTCCGTTGCTCACTGGCTCTGAATACACATACAGACAGACAATGGGTCACAGGAGTCAGTATTGGCTTGGGATGGGCGTCATCACGCGTCTCAACCAATGAGAGCATTTGGGGTGGGCGCTGCTGCGCGATAGCCTATCAGCGTTGCGATGCTCCCCCTGTCATCACTGACGTCCTGATGTTGAATCAGGAAACAAATACTGTATCCGTCTGTGTTCACCCAGAGCTGTACGATACCTCATATTAGTGGAGATCGGACCAAACTATGTGTATAAATGTGTGTGTGTAAACTATATGGTACAAACAATGAATAGACAATGCCGTATTTATGCCTAGATGACGTTATGTTGAGTGTTGATGGAGCTGCTATAATGTAAGCATAGCCTAGCACCGATCGATCCAGACTCCATTCTAAAGTATTTTAAAAGTTATTTGCTTGTCGTCTTGTGGAGAGAACTATCAAAACATGAATTCAGACTTTTTACAAATCGGCATCATTACGTAGTTATTTCGGGGTCCCTTTTTTGTCCGTTTACTGCAGTTAAATCACAGCAAAATCAGTTTGTTTTGTGTTCATACAGCTGTAGTAAACAGCCGACGTGTGGCTTGCTAGACACAGTGAATACAGCTCGATAAAATCCACGGAGCTCCTCCGGACTGTTATGAACCAGACAAGATGGTGTTTAGTTTCCTGATATCTGGGACTTCCACAACAAGTACTAAGCAGTCCAATCTGGGGAAGATTTTCGATTTTCAATCAATTATAGTGGCTCAACACACATTACTTTTTTTGTTGTGTTGATTTCATAAAATATATATAATATACAACAAATATTTTAACTGTTACTGTGTAAAGGGAATACTGCTGTTAAAAATAACCTTATTTGTGTAAAGTGTTTGCAAGCCAAATGTTATTGCACTTTTGTTCGTATAGCAGTACTTTTAAAATAAAAGTGTGCAATGGACTACTTTTGAATTCGTCATTGAATTTTGCGCATAACAATGTGATTAATCGTGATTAATCGCAGAAAAATCATGCGATTAATCGCGATTCAAAATTGTAATTGTTGCCCAGAACCAATTTATTTCAAAGTAATTTTATTTATTTTCCACAAATATGGGGAGGACTCAAGGCATAGTTCTGTGTTTAATTGACCTCAATGGAGGCCTACACATGCCGGTGTATTTTTTTTCTCCTCTTCATAAGAGTTTGACAACAGGTAAAATAACAATAAAATGTCAAGAATTGTCTTTATTCTTGTTCTATAATTTAATAAATACAACAAACTATAGTTTTTGTCTATATAATATAACTATATATAAAACTGTATAAGCTGTGGTATGAAATAGCTTTTGCAGTTCCAGACAAATTTTATTTGGTGGAAAATAGGGCAAAATGGCTCTTTGGAGAGTAAAGGTTGCCAACCCCTGGCCTATACCTATGCCTGGGGCCGGTTCTGACTCAGCTTACATGTTCGAGGAAGCAGCAACCGATCTCACTGAGGTGTGGCTGCTCTTTGTTGAATTTCTTCTCCAGGCCTTTCAGGAACTTCTTCTGGAATCGGTAGATCTCTTCAATATTGCCAAAGATGGTACGAAGCTGCTCTTCAGTGAACATATCTGTCCTCTTGCGGCACTGTTTGATGTAACCCTGAAGGAAACAGAAAAGGGATCAGATCATGCTGAACAGACATGGAACACAACATATGAATAAATACATCATGAAATCACACACAATAACCCATGTAGGCATTAGCTGCTTGCTCCACTGCTAGTAAGCCCATACCAAGACCTGAGACCTGACAGCCAATCAGAAAAGATAATTTTTCCATGGTGATGGTAAACGGTTGGGTAAATTAAAGCTGATGTGTAACAGTGTATAAATGTGTGTATAAGTGTATCGATAAATTAATTGTTTTACATCATGTTTAAACATAATCTAATCCAGACCTCACAGATGTCCTTCAGGTGCTTGATGTAGACTCTCTCTGTGCTCATGATCTCATTGATGACGTTGGTCCTCATCTGTTCTTTGCAGGGTAAACCAGGTCCCAGCAACAAGCCCAGACCTGCCCGGTTCTCCTCTCCAGCCTGAGCCTCCTCCAGGTGCGCCAGATACTCCTCCATGGGCTCATCCTGGTTCACACGCAACTGAGGAGGACACAAGTAACTATTAAACCCCCAGGAAGACTTTTGGTTCCCCCCAGCAATTACCTGTGCAGTTCTTTTATTTTCAATTATCTCTTCATAAAAATCACATGAATGTGAACTGCAATTCCAATTTTGTGATAGCTTCTGGTTTACTGTTGTGCTAGTGATCTAAGAGGGGGCGACTGTGGCTCATGGGGTAGAGAGGGTAGGCAGTAGGATCCTTGGCTACTACGTCTGTTGTGCCAAAGTGTCCTTGAGCAAGACGTTAAACCCCTGACTGCTCAGCAGCCCACTGCTCCCTATATACTAGGGATGGGTTAAATGCAGAGAATACATTTGCCCACTGCGGGACTAATAAGGGTTTGATTATTATTATTATAACCATTTTGATTAGCCTACCATCTTTAAAGTTGTTATTAATGACTTGTGTACCCATTTGTGATAACATAACATAACATGCTGAGGATCCATTGAAAATACTGGCAGTATTGCAGCAGCTGCAGTCATTAATCAAACAGTGCAACTCAGTTTGTCTCACCCGTACAAAGCTGGCAGGGAACCAGCCCTCGCTGTCCATAATGCGACCCCACCACCACTCCTTGTTAGTGGCGTCCACTACTTCGATGACATCACCGGCCTTGAAGCCCAGCTCCTGGTCGTCCATGGTGACATGGTCCCAGAGGGCCTCAGCATACACCACGCTGCCATCACTGATCAGCTGCAGAGGAAGCACCAGAAGGGTCATGGCTGTAACAGGGGCACTTTAAGTCAAACCATGAATATCAAGGGTCAACAACCAGCCACGAAAATGACGAGGTAACATTAAACAATTTCAGTGTAACACAGGGTTCAAACCTTCTCAGTTTAACCAGTTATCTTCTTTTGCCATTGTTTCCCACAGGTTGACAAAGTATGTGAAGGGAGGTGAGACTGAAGGATTGTTCATTGTGCTGCTCTGACCTCTAGGACCACATTGGCATGATTTTCAATCAGGGAACATACGCTAAATAATACTTAAGTCAGAAGGCTTACGTGCTGATGTTATGGTGAAGCCATAATATTTACCACGTTCACCAACCTAGTTTATTGTGTTTGGATGCTAACATTTCCTAATTAGCAATAAACACAAAGTATAGATAGATAGACAGATTAATGGTATGGTATGGTGGTGTGTTCACAGAATGTATTGTATTCTGTGATGCAGTCCGTCATGCTGTTGATGTCCTCCCCATGTGGTCCACACAGCACATCCCAGTCCGTGGACTCAAAGCAGTCCTGCAGGGCGTCTTTAGCTTCCTGTGTCCACCTCCTCACAGTCCTGGTGGTCACAGGCTGCCTCTGCACCAGAGGAACATACTTTGGGGTTAACAGGACCAAGTTGTGGTCGGACCTACCAAGGGGGGGAAGGGCAGTAGCACTGTATACATCCATGGCATTAGCATACAGTAGGTCCAGAGTTTAATTTTTCCGTGTGGGGCAGTTAACATACTGGTGAAGGGTTGGCAGAGCTTTATCCAGTGTGGAGTGGTTAAAGTCTCCAGTAATTGCCAAAAATGCACCAGGATGTTGACACAGTAGAGTGGATGGTGTCCACTGCTGCCTCACTGCTGCCTCCGCGTCAGCTGATGAAGGAACGTACACAACAACAATGGCAGATGAGAATTCCATCGACAAATAATAAGGACGCATCCCCATGGCTAGAAGTTCATTGTCCGGGCTGCAGAAACGTTCCTTCACACACACATGGTTGGGATTGCACCATTTCTCGTTCACATACATTGCAATCCCACCCCCTTTTCTTCTTACCGCTCTGTACAACGTCTCTGTCCGCCCGAACAGTCCTGAAGCCGGGTACAGTCACACTGTGGTCCGGGAAATGTGAGTGCAGTCATGTCTCGGTGAAACACATGATGCTGCATTCGCGGTACTCCCTCTGGGACTTTACAAGTGCACCAAGTTCAACTGTCTTATTGGCCAAGGACCTCACGTTCCCCATTAGAATCACTGGTACCAAAGGTTTATACTTCCTCCTCTTCGCCTTCAGCTTAGCGCCAGCTCTGTAACCCCGACGTCTTCTCCGCAGTTCCTCCGGGATTTCAGGCCTCGCAAAGTGCAGCAGCAGCAATTCACTCAGTGCAATCAGCTGATCACGAGAGTAAACAATGCCCCCAGTCCATTGTGCGTGGCTGTCCGTTACAAGGAGGGAAAAAAGTAACAGAAAAGCCAGTAGAAAAGTTGAAAAAAGTTACGGCCCATTGCCTGACCGTCACTTAAACAAAACGTTAAAGAAAAAACAAAACAGAAGAGAGGAAAAAAGTGAATTAAAGACTAAAAATTAAAACACATAGGGAGCTGGTGCAACAGGCTGCCACTGGCAAGGCGCCATCTTGATTAAATGAAATATGCTATGAAAATAAAAAGCTGAGACTGATGGGAATGTTTTCTTAGTAAAGTATTTGACAAGCAAAAATTTTGATCTGATGAAAAGTCCGGGGATCACCAAGTTATTACGATTCATCCTGACTGTCCTGAGATTTGGTTCAGACAATCTATCCAATAGTTTGTGAGACATATCACTAATTAGCCACAACGTAGACCTCATGGGGTGCTGGATGAAAAGCCAAAGGACCTCCACAGTCATCATTCATACTTGGGAAGATGGATGTCCAGATGTTTCAGTCTGGATGCATGTAGTGAACCTAAACACGACTTGCAAAATTGCTTTCGAAGCACCCATAGGAACCTTAATGGACACTATTAAAAGGGCACTCCACCAATCTTACACACAGGTCATATCATCAAGGTCAGTTCCACTCCGTCGTATGGCCTCTGTGATTGTAGAAGAGTTTTGTCGGCTCTGAGAAATTAACTCTGCATTACAGTTAGATGTGGTCTGTCCTTATGGTGAATAATAGAGTAGAATAATAGAGTAGACCTTTCCGCGTTTTTTTTGTACCTTCAACTGTTACGCAGTCAGACGTCTGTATACCTGACCAATTGAGATCTGCCCGTGCCCTTTAATTTTAGCGTATATACTTTGCCCTTTTTACGTTAATATAATTAGGTGAATTGTTACAGCGCTTTCACACTACTTGTCATCATTCACCCATTCACACACTGATGGTAGGGGCTAAGTGACACCTGCCTATCAGATTCTATCACATTCATACACTGTAGGCACAGCTACGGGAGCAATTTTGGGGCTCAAGGACACTTCGACATTTGACTAGCGGAGCCAGGGATTGAAACGCCGATCCTCTGATTGAAGGACGACCCTCTCCATTTAGCCACAGTCGCCCCTAAATATAAATATATAATATAATAAATATAATTAATGAAAAATAATTTGCTCTTTTGATTTACAGAATATGATTTCACAGGGCAAACATTAATTAAATGTTCATAAGTAAGGAAATGTGTAATAATCAAAACAATTGTATTTAAGCTGTATATCAAAAATAATGGTCCAATAATATGGGAAATGGCATAGTTTTAAGTAAAAAAACTCACTTAGCCCATTAACTGCCAAAATAAGGCACTTTCAACATTGGTGCATAGTGTGCACTCCATGGAATTAGTATCAAATATGGGTGTGGGACCCAGTAAAGAATGGTTTAAGGGCAGGCCCCTTTAAACCTCATCTTTAAGCTATGATCAAGGCTTTCATGGTGTAGAATGAAAAAAACCAATGAGAAGCTAACGTGAAAGTAGACTGAGACAGAAATACAGAAAAGGAAGTGTAAGAGACAGAGGACGAGGACGCAAACAAAGAGAAAGACCAGAAGAAGACAGAGCCAGTGTTACTGATGAAGACACGACAGTGGTCATATTTCACACCGCCTCGTACACACTGCCAGGTTCACTGCATCAACATGGCCCATACTCTACAGACACCATCCGTTATGGTGCTCAGCCTCTCATTCCTGCAGAGACAATAGATATCCTGCTGAACCACATCAGCCCACCACCCCTCCTCTCAGCAGGCCAGAGAGTCTGGACGTTTTTCACACACCGTCACTAGTGTTGTTAAAGACATTTCACTTTCCTGTCTGCTATCTGGCTTTTACTGTAGCTCCACTGATCCATCATGGCGATGAGGAAACAGACGATATGGCTGTTGCTAGGCAACACACCCACATCATCTTGCCTCTCTGCTGCCCTTCTCTCTAGAATCCTCTTTGACTACACGACAGAACACAATCTTCTCATTAAATGTTGTGATAGTAGACAGCTGCTTACAGTTTGTTGTAAACGGGTCAAGCATCATGACAGTGCTCACAGAGCACAAGTGTCACTATCGTAAACAGCAATGGCTAATACACACACAGACACACACACACACACACAAGCAGCTGTGCCCCCTGATTCTAATGTGTGCAGCTGAGTGTGGGTCAGGTCTCTTCTGGCCGATGGGCTCAAGGGCAGCTGTTTCTGGGCACATCTACATAAACACATCAGTCCTGGATGTTACCTGTGAAAATAAAATATTTTATTTCATGTACTCTATGCCACAACAATACAAATAGCTAGCTTTTATTGAGTCTTTGAAGTAATTTCACCTTGTCAGGCCAGTCATTGTATTAAAGTGAAACAATCTGAGAGGGAAAAGACACTCCGGTTGAACTTCTCACAGCTCACAGACTTACGATGTCTGTGATGAGGGGTCCCAACTGGATATTGGTTATTTTTCAGGGTCAAACCAAAGAGTTTGGGTTTAGTTCATATCTGAGTCATGTAAATTCAAGTGATGCCCTCAAAAAGCTCTGGGTCAACCTGTTGTCATTCTCAATGCGTCAAATACTGCAACAGAGGCACTCTTTAGTGTGTGTATGCGACGCACCGGGCTTGCCACCAACTACGGTACAAACACATGCGTCCTTATTACACGCCCAAAGCAATTGATGTCGTATAAAGATTGTTCACACAGCGGTGGGAAAGTGGTAGATGGGTCAAACACTGCTTGTGTCCTGTACCAAACTAGAAGTAAATGTTAACTTGTGTGTCACACTCACTAGTCATGTGGTGTAGTGGTTAGCACTGTCGTCACAACAAGTAATTGATGATTAATTGAGTAGTAATTACGGCACACACGATCATGTGACTGTCCCAAATAGTTTGCTGATAAAAACACTATTTAGATGTCTAGGGATTATACAAAGAAGGCTAATTCTTTTTGAGATGGTTTAGTCTTAAAAATCTTAATTTGAATAAATATTTTGCAGTCAAATCAAATCGTTTACAGGATATTCAACCTTTGTTTTCTTCATAATAAAGTAGTGTATGAGATATGAGTTTATAGATAATTATAATCCCTCCTCGTCATTGTAGATTGGTTTATGCCTTTTTTACACTCGTTGTCTATTTTATTCCTCAAAGTTTATTTTGTTTGTACGCCCTCTGACGTTTCAGAGAATATTGCAGCACACAGCCCATAGAGCAGGGATTCCCAAAGTGTGGTACTTGTGTAGAGCTGCCTCTAGGGGGTGCGCGAGAGGAAAAATGTAATGGTGGTCTAATGGTGCAGTCCTGTCTCCTAAAAATTACGTTCCCCCAAAACTAAAATGCATTCTCAATTACGTTTGACCATAAACGTATTTTCTCCCTGATTACGTTTGTGTTTGACGTATTACAACTACGTTTCTCATCAACATATCTTTGCCATACTCTTCATTATTTTTCTGTGATCTGCCTCGCCTATACCCCCGCCACCCACAAGTT